AAAATCACACCACAAGCAAGACACAAAAATTTTGTGGTTACCCTAAGCCCGGGATACGTCTACTAACTTCGATCTCAATTTTTCACTATATCAAAATAATAGATTTACAACAATTCTCCCCAAAATAATTTTCAGAGACTATCAAAATATCAAATATTCACCACTCAAAAATGGGTATTAACAAAAGTAACGAGAATAGATCTCATCTAGTAAATCTTGCAAAATATCAATCTAAGAAGGCTTTCAACAAAATATAATCTAATCAATGGTTGTCCCCGCTGCTGCGAACAACATACTAAAATTTTATCAAATACGATGGACATTGAATGCCTGCCCGAATTTTGGATCGACGTGTTCTACGCGAACAATTGTTTTCTCCTGTCCTCAGGTTCGTCACCAAGCCACCGCTTATGGAAGACTAAATGTGTTCTTATTTCATGTGGTCCCAAGTGTGACATGTTGCACCACAGCCCCCCTTTTTTTTTTTTCTTTTTTTACGAAAAATTGTGAGTAAGTATCTTGTGAAGAACTTTTTTGTGAGAAAAGACCTTGAAAAAATTCGTTGTAGATAAGTACCAATGGGTTAAAATGTATTGTAGAGATATACACAACGACAGTTTTTTTATTCTTCATTTTACTATAATACATTTTTCCTATTTTTATGTTGTCTGTATTTGGGCAGTTGCTTTTTTTATGGAGATTTGGTTTTATTGATAGACAGTTTCCTAGTTTGGAAGATATCCTCTTTTTGTTTTTTTGAATTTTGAATTTTGAACGTTTTAATCATTCATAAATGACGCAAGATCTAAACAAAACTAATGTTTGTTTTGAAGCTAGGGTCATCATCATCTGTAATGTGACGTTACAGTGACATATGACAGTGTAACACTTCCATCAACATTTTAATCACTGACAAAATGTTGTGAAATTATATTCACTTACACAATCTAAATAGTATGTATCATCACAAATTGGCATTCATATATATTACTTTTAATGAATTGTAGTGTTACATCACAATATAACAATATAAAGTGACACTAATTTTAGCTAACTAATGAAGAGATTTTATGCTAGAATTTACAGTTAAATAGAGGGAAAAGGAATTCTAGATAGGGTCAATTATAAACAAACGTAAGGAAGATAAATTATAGCTATGTGAGAAAGATTTTTGGACAAGGAAATTAAAACTATGTGAGAGAGAATTTAGGAAATAGAAAGAAGATGTTGTTTAAAATTCAAATTCATTGTCTCACTAAAATAATAAACTCTTAATTCATTTTTAGAGGACTGTGATTTGTGTATGTTTGAAAACTGAAGAAATTCGAGGAGTTTTGTTCAAATTTTGAAAAATTTAGTTTTTGGGTCTTGATTAGTGGCCATATTTTGTGAAGATGGTGAATAAAATATAGTGGTTCCAAAGACAGACAAACATCTGTTTAGTTATCTCTGTGAGTGTTTTTGGGACCAAAAAAAAAAAACAAAAGAGCACTTCTCCCCAAAATATTTTAACCGAAGGATTTTTTTGCAAACAAATCCTATATAGAGTATTGGCCTACAATAAAAACCCTTTTTTTATTTGCTTTTACTAAACTAAAGGGTTTGGACTCTTCATTAGTTGGGCTAGACCCAACTCAACACTCTAAAGTCAACGTTGGCCTAGTTCACAAACCTCTTCTCAAGGCCATCAATATTAGATTATGGATATAATCTCATTATACTTTTAATCCTCAGAATGGTTAAAAAACTTTCTTAATCTCTCACGCATATTTGCATACACCGATCTCCTATTCAAACTATTTGAGGCAAAGGAAAATACTGTTTAGACTTAAAAAATTGACATAATTTGCTGACATAATAATGTAACTTCATTGAAACTATTGGATAAATACCAAGTTTCAATGTTTGATGGAGCTCACAGTAAATCTAAAAATTATAGTGAATTAGGTCCCAATAGCATTGCTCTTGAGGCAAAACCATGGTACCATCACGTGATTTTTGTGGTTCAAAATAAAAATGTGGTGAAGTGGTTGAATCCGGACCTTTAGGTCGGTCGAACTGGCTAATGACTCCTTTCATGCACCAAGAGGTGCAATGTTCAAATCCTGTATCACCATGTAATAACTTGACCAAAAAAAAAAGAGGCTAAAGCCTTTGTTTGATGTAATGCAATGGGGAGGATGACTTGCATGGGTGATTGATGCTACTTGTTGGCAGCGTTGTAAAATTACAAATTAGATATCCACAAGGACTAATTTGGTATAGTACATCATAAAAACAAGCATATATACTGAATTAGAAGTGATGATCTTCAAGCTATTGTTGATAGTTTCTTTTGGTTCATGTTTGCGTTGGCTTCGTTTTCTTCCCTTCTCTTTACACTACGTTCCCGCACCATCTCCATAATTTTGGTCACCCTAAGGTGTAAAATCATTAATCTATTGCTCTATATTATAAGAATATTTAACTTGTTATGAGTCGTTCGTAATACACTTACATTGTGTTTGGTACATGATATTGTTTTTATATGAAAATGGAATGAACGTAGAAATAAAATAAAATATACATTATCATTCCAATATTTAATAACAACTAGGTTTAAATGCTGGAATATAATTAAAAATTCACTCAAATATTTGAATAATCCCTAGACTCAAACCCAGACCTAGACTTGATCTTTGACCCTAGACTTAGACCCGACCCCAGACACGAGCCCAGACCTGAACCTGGACCTGGACTTTAACCAGACCCCGAACCAGTCCCGACATGGACTTGAGCCCAAGTGGTGGTGGTGGTTGAACTGAAAAATACCACAAAATATTAAGAAATGACAACTTTCATTCTCATGTTTCATTATTACCAACCAAACGCAACGTGATGTTATAAATGTGTGTTTTGTGAAAACAAAATGAATTATAATCCAATTAGTTCTATCAACTAGAAATAGGGGATTGATACAAACCAAAATTTGGCTAAGCCTCAACATTTAGTTCATGAACCATGACCGACCACGCTCGATTCTTTCAAACCAAACACCACATGACAACTCGATAGTCCTTGTGGTAGGTAGGTCTGTGGGCCGTATTGTTGCCCGTCAGCCCGCAAAAAAGGGTCTGATTATAGGCCTATAAAAAAATAATTTGAAAATGGGTTGAATCTAAAAAAAATTAGGAGAATTTAAAAGCCAGTACAATTTTTTAAATTTATTTGGGCAAAAGTACAAGTCAAAAACTTATTTGAGATAAAGTGCATATTATTTAAAAATGTCACTATTACCATCGGTAAACAACAAATGGATGAAAACCCTTTTTTTTTTGTGGCTACAATCAAGTAATGGGAGGTAAAATTAGGGCATATTTTTTTTAATAATTTCTCTCTCTCAACCCCTATTTTCTTTTATTTTATTTATATTAATACTACAACAACACAATTACATTAATCAGTTACAATTGTCATAGAATACACAGAACAGTTATTCATGCGTTATAATAAATCAAACAGTTACACAAAATTATGACATCAACTCAATTTGTCATTCAGTTGTTTACATAAACTAAATAGTTACACCATTTAGTATTGTAGCATCATTACACCATCATACCTTAACAATTGCATAAGACTGTGATTGTTACACCCATTAAAAAATAGTTACACCCATTAAAAAAACAGTTACACTTATTAAAAAAATAGTTACATCCATTAAAAAAATAGTTACACACATTAAACAACTGTTCCACCCATTAAAAAAAACAAATAAGTTCTTTTTTTCCTATATCCCAACAACGAACAATACATAATATCTAACAAAACATTTTGACCGATTCTCTTTTTTTTTGGGGGGGGGGAAAAAAATTCAGGGTTTGATCAATCATTATAGTAAAAAACTTTATTTCTTTCGGTCAGATGACGTGGAAGCAAGGTTGGTGGCATGTGACGATATATATATATATATATATATGTGTGTGTGTGTGTGTGTGTGTGTGTGTGTGTAAAGTGAAACAAACTGATATATATATTTCACTTATATTTTGCACTCATATTCCTTCATCTTTATTTTCTAGCACGAAATACCTCTGTTTTTACTTTCTCTTGCTCTCTATAAACTCCTATTTTACCTCTCATTGTTATTGTTAATCTTTACATATTTGTTTTCTCAAATAATTGTCAATGATTAATGCATAAATTAAGGAAGGGTGTTTAAGTAAAAAAGATTTTAATTCATTATGAATTTTGTATTAAACACAAAAAGTTTTATAAAAATTGTACTTAATAGAATAAATAACTTATTCATACACTTTTACTCAAATAAGTCTAAAAAATTATATCCACACCCAAAAAAACCCAATAAATTAAGAAAAAGATAAGCATATTAAAGTTGGTTTGTTGGGCAAGTGCGTGCCGTATTTTTCTAGATGGTGTAGCTCAATACGACCTATTGTTCAATTAAGAGCCCGGTACGCCAACTGGGCCAAGTGGGCCTTACCTAATGTTGACTCTTAGATATAAAGTTTTTTACAAAGTGATTGTTTTGGATTTGGGCCAATTGTATCTTGCACCCTGAATGATTTAAGAATTCTCGTTTTACACTCTTAAAGATTAAATTTCTTATATCACACACTGTATTAAAAATGTTGCAATGTGGTTATTCTGTTGCTCATTTCGTCAACATTAGTAGAATAATTTTTGATTGAATAAGTAACAGAAGTTAACAGAAGAGTCAGTTTGCAACACTTTTAATTAGACGTAGATAACAAAAATATGTGAGATTTGGTTTTCACTTAGCTTATAAATATTGTATGAACATCCACATTTTTTTTCATTAGTTATTTCAGAAATATTTGAGATTTGGTTTCTCACTTTGTTTAAACCTTGCCAACTTTATTTTTTGTTCTGTAACCTCTATCAAGTATAGACTTGGTATGAATAGCAAGAAAACTAGAATCCAACCAAGATCATGAAAAGCTCACTTCCATGCTTTTTTTTTTGGGTTTTGGAGCCAGGATTTGCAGGAGAGTTATGTCAGAGAGACACTGACCAGTGGTTTTTCTTTGTCCCTCGGCAAGAGAGAGAAGCCCATGGAGGAAGGCCTAATCGGCTCACGACTACCGGATATTGGAAAGCCACTGGTTCTCTGGGCTATGTATACTCGAATAATGGAATAATTGGAGTGAAGAGAACCATGGTTTTCTGCAGAGGAAGAGTTCCAGGCGGAAGAAAGACTGAGTGGAAGATGAATGAGTGTAGAGCCATTGAAGCAGAAGCTTCTTCATCAAGTAATGCAACTCCACCAAAGGTAAAATATATAGTTGATTTGGGAACAGTGGAAGTGTTTAAACACTAGCTATCTATTTTACAGTTTAAGTGTAAATTTTAGATGGTGGATAGCAAAATCTCATTCAGGATATCTTCTATCTATTTAATCTTATTACTTTCTCATATCATGTAGTTAAGGTAAGAAATCAGTTTGTGTGAGTCTACTTAAAATCGACAAGCTTACCAGCATGCAGCAGACCACAACCATCAGAAGTAGTGAGAAGTGAACAGTTCACCAACCTCGTCATGGTAATGAGGCAACATCTCATCAATACCAGCAATTGACAGAGATCAAAATAATCCCACCAAATCATAACGCGTCGTCGGGAGACCGCACCATTGTCAATAATCCTTGTCAAGTTATGGAAAATGGTAGCTGGGATTGGGATGTGTCTGTTGATAATGATTTTTTGTGGGACTGGGACGAATTGAATTGGTTTTAAGGGGACGATGGAAGAATATATAGGAGAGGATCAATCTGTAGCTCAAATGAGCAAACCAAGAATGCTGGTGAAACTATCAGCAAGCAGAATTTGACAAACTAATATTGCTAAGATGTGGGTTCGTTATAACTACTTGATCAATACAAAATTTCAGTGTTTAATGAGACTCACAATTAATCTAATGACTATAATGAATTAAGTCTTAATAGTATTGCTCATTTTCAAATCCCCGTCTTCACATGTAACAGCTTGACCCAAAAAAAGAAGTGGTAGAAACCTTTGTTTGATGCAATGTAATGTAATGCAATGGGGAGGGTGACTTGCGTTGGTGATCGGTGCTAGTTAATCGAAAACGTGCTACTCGGTTCGGATAAGACTCGGCTCGAGTTCAACTCGTGTTTTAAAAAGTTAAATTTGAACAATTTTTTATACTCGTTGAAGACTTGACTCAAGCTTGCAAAGTCATGCTCATAAATGTCAGCTCGTTTATTTGTTAAATAGTTGAGTTACTCATTCGGGTTCAGGTCGAGTTCTAAAGAAGTCGAACTTGAATAATTTTTTAAGTTCGTTTAACTAAACGAGCTCAACAGATTCGTATTCAAACTCACAAAGTCCAGCTCAATTAACATACCGATTACTAATTTTGTATAGTACATAAAAAAAAACAGGTATACTAAATTAGAAAGATCGGTACAAATCAGCATAGGACTAACTGAAGGCGTGGAATGATCTTCAAGCTATTGTCGACAGTTTCTTCTCCTCTCTTTACGCTCCTTTTCCACTAACTGAAGGCCCATGTAATTAAATGGAAATAGATTAGGACCACTACGACCTTTTCGTATCCACGTGCTGCGACAAAGTGTTTTAGATTCACAGACAATAAATTTGGTGAAATATACCGATTTGGGTGATCTATTTGTACTATTTATAATTTGTGAAAAGAATTTAATTTTTTTGTAATTATTATTATAAAGTCAATGTTACTCACATACTATTTTCATCTCATTTTTATTTGCTATATTTATTTTACTTTTAAGTCCATTTGCATTCTTTTATTAGTAGGAAAAATTTTAAACACACTTTTCTCTAGTTTACTATATTTTTAAAGACTCTTGCTCTATTTTTTTAAATGTTTACTAACACCTTTGTCAGATTAAAAATGTTAACTAGAATATAATTTTATTAAATTGATCATGATATATTTGAGAACAAGTTTCATCCACATCCCCTTCAGATAAACATATTTTCAATGAGATCCCCTATGTTTTTTAAATTTTTTAACGTATTAAAATTCAGATCGAGTAAAATTCGATTCAAGATAATTAATTTTTTCTTATGTATTAAAATTTGAGTCGATTAAAAATTATATTTTTTACGTATTAAAATTTAATCCGATTAAAATTCTATTTTAGCCAATTAAAATCATTTTTAATCGACTCAAATCAAATTTTAATCAACTCGCATTGAATTTTAATCGGTCTAAATTTTAATTGACTCAAATTTTAATGAATCAAATTTTAATAAGTGAAAAAATATAAATTTTAATCAACGCTAACAACTTGAGTAGAGCTTAAATCAACTCAAATTTTAATATGTAAAAAAAATTTAATCAGTTCGAATCGAATTTTAATCCGCTCAAATTTTAATATATAAAAAAATAAATTTTAATCAATTTGAATTTTAATATGTAAAAAATAAATTTTAAGCGACTCAAATTTTAATAGAATTTTATGTAAAAAAAATTGTTTAGGGTTTATTTAAGGGTATTTTTGGTATTTTAGATCATTTGTTTTTGTTAAAAATGATAGATTAATAATAGAGGTGTCAGTAATATTTAAATATAAATTATAAAGGGTGTCAGTTATATTTTTAATAATAAAAAAAATATTCTTAAAAATATAATAAACTAAAAAGAGTGTTATTAAAAAGGTTGTTACTGAAATTTTTTCCATAATAAATAAACTTATTGGTTTGAGTTGTGTTTCTTTCGATCGTCTCAGTGCAGGTGACAGACACATCATGAATGAAAAAGGTCCATTACCCCCCAAAGGTCCTAAAAAGAGAGTTATTGAAGAGGAAAAAGGACAAATCAAGGTCAAATATGAGACAAGACATTTTTTGCCTTCTGATAGAAGGTTTTTCCCTAACCCAGGCCCTCAAAATTTAATTTTTAAAATTAGTTATTTTTAAACTTAATTTTCAAACTCAATTTTTTTTATAAAATATCATTTGAAATGACGTCTTCTTATCCAAAAACGTCATTTAAAATAAAGATTTGAAATTTAATTTTTTTTTTCTGAAAACATCATTACTAATAACATTTTTAAAATAGTTATTAACAATGACGATTTTAAACTTGATTTATTTAAACGGCAGCAATAGACGTTAAATTATAAAAAAAATAAAAACATCATTTAAAATAATATTTTTAAAAACGTCATTTACATTAAGGATTTGAACGTTTAGTCCAATGCCTTATCAATTCCCAAATCACTGCCTAGGTTAAAAATTTTAAAAAAATTTCACCTCTCCTCCACAAACGACTGTTTTCACCTTGGCTCCTCCACAAACGACGGTGACCTCTCCTCCTCCACCAAACACCGAGATCCAGCGGCTTCTCCGACGAGCTCCAACCACCCTTGATCCGACGAGCTCCAAGCATTGTTCATCCAGCGAGAACCACCTAGATCCAGCCATTTCATCCACCTAGATCCAGCCACTTAGAGATCCAACCTCTTCATCCACCGAGATCCAGCCACCGAGATCCAGCCTGTTCATCAACGAGACAGAGATTTTGCCCTCAATCCAGAACACCAGGTATGTTATTATCAGACCTAACAAAATTTTGGTTGTGCCTTTGAAATCAGAGCTTCCAATGACTAACCTTACAAACATGTTGTCCAATTTGAAGTTGAATCCAATGGCCAAGGAGTTCTTTCCTTCGTCCTATAATCGTGACCAATTGGAGAGTATAAAATTTTTGATTCCCTATTTTTGACAGAATGGACCATGACTGCCACTGCTCTGAATTCTATTTTGCATTTTGATTGATCGGTCTTTGTTAGATTATCATCTTGGATATTAGTTTTGTTTTGTGTTTGTCTGTAAAATTTTAGTCTTTAAGGGTTTCATATTTAAAATTCTTATTATTATTGTTAGTTATAAATGCAATTTCAATTGATACTGAATTTTCAAGTCTTTTGTTGTAGATAGGTTTTAGAATTCTGCCTTGTAATTTACAAATTCATGTGGACAGAGGATTAACTCTTGACCTGTTCTTCGTTGGTGTCTTTGCTGAAAATATTCTCCTCCACAGCTTCAACCTTACTAGGGCTCGAGCAGTCACAGTGACAGTGTCCTTGCAACTTCGTCGTCCGTCCAATCAAATTTTCAAATATCACCTTTTCTAAAACGTATATTGTACGAGTTCAAGAAGAAAATATTCAAACATATATACACACTTGTATATGTGTAGGTATACGAGTTTGCTTGCTGGCACAATGCGCAAATGTATTTGGTCTCTCAATATTTTCCATGAATTTCCTGGAAGTAGAAATGAGCTCTGAAAATTTAACCAGAATTAGCGTTAAGGTTAGAAGACGAGGAGGACAGGAGAGAGAGAGAGAAGTCAGGACCGTTAGGTTGTGTGATGTCGTCAAAGGCTATTGGTTATGAATTGGTTGTATCAATTAGGCCTCAAACTGTAGTCTTTGCTTGATAACTGAGTTTCCAAAATGACATGCAATAGGTTTGTATTGTGAAAAAATTGTTGCAAAGATAGATCCACCTAACAAAACTTTGCTTGTGCCTTTTATATTCTCTTGGGTACAAAATGCAATTTTTGGGAGATGAGGCTATAATAGAGTTCCAAATGAAGCATGAAACATGCATTGTTTTTTATTTATTATATTTGTTGTCTTATTTTGTATAACCAAGTCATGACCTTGGTTCATTTAAGTGAATTGTTAACAACTTTACCTTCAGTATCGTGGTTGTTATATAAGTGTACGTTAACAATATAAGAACAGTCCTGCCTATCTGATATTCGTGGTGGTCCCCAAATTTCTTTTGAGTATTCTACATTTTCTCCACAGAGCTTTAGATCCTTTTATAGTTTTATTCTTTAAGATTAAAGTTTTCTAACAAGTTTGACAAATTTTTTTTTTGGGCTTGATAATTTTTGTGTCATGGAATAAAATTGTGAATCAGTGAACTGGGTAGCCTATTTTTTTTTTGTTTTTTATTCATTCATCCCACAACATTCCCTCTTGAGAGATATTCAGTGTAATATCTTTTAAGTCGATCATTGGGAATGCTTCTTTGAGATTTTTCGTAATGGCTTTAGGTATCCTAACCATATATATATTGATCATTGTACTTCTGCATTTCTTAACTATTACTTAAAGTAGTTCACGTGCAACACACGTGTACAATAACTAGTTATTTTAAATATATGTAAGTCTGAAATATATGTGTATACATATAGAGAGATTAATTAAAAGCTCTTTATGTCCTTTGAATTATTTAGTGATAGTAGTTGTTCTAAGAAATTTTATAGGCATAAAGTGATAATTATGTCTTTTTAATTTTATTGGTCAAGTATGTTATGTTTAGTATGAACAAAATAATGTATTCCAATGGTTAATTACTTGTTATGTTAGCCAACCTCGACTACCAAACATATCTCAAAAAGTTTGTTAAAGTATGTGTTGCAACCATTATTCTCCCTGCAACGTTTAAATGAATAAAGTTTGTTAGAAAAAGTTGGAACTTGTGTGATACATTGTTGACACATATAACTTAGTTTATTTCTTTATACACTCTATTAAGGGATGCCCAAGTACTACACATGTGAATACAGGATAGAGTAACATGTTAAAAAATAGTATGTATATATGGTTGCAGCCACATAAGTTAAAGAGAAAAACCCATTAATATGCCAACATACAATGATTGAGGTATTTATTTATTTATTTATTTTTTTGGAAAAATAAAATTTT